GCTTTCTGTGTAAAATTCACTGTGGTCTGCGTTTGTTTTCAAATGAGATGCTGCTGCTGAGCCAGGAGGGCCCGGCAGATCCAAAAGCAGTTCTGCCCTCTAGTGGACAGTCACCGGGCGGCGGAGAGAGCGTGGCTCACTTACCAGGGCCCTAACTCTGGGTTCTGCTCCACTCAAAAGGTGTCATACTGGAGAAAAGACCCAGTCGGATACCATTACATCAACAGGTGTTTAGATAACCCTTTGTTTGTTTCAGGACAGATTAAGCAGGGACTGGCAGTACTCTTGGAGCACCGAGGCAGCTTACCACAGGCTAAGCAAAAACTGCTTTCACTACAACCCTCAAAAATCATGTGGAATTTAAATCTCCGAGAGAGTCTACGAGAAAAGAGAACGATCAATAAACAAAAACAGTATCCTGGAGCCAGATGTGGTGGCCCACACCTATAATCTGAGCACCAGGGAGGCTAAAGCAAGTTCCAGGACAGCCCAGGCTATAGGCAAGGCTTTATCTTAAAACAAACAAAATACACCATACTGTACCAAACCAAAAAAAAAAACTGAAACCAAACAAACAGAACAAATCCCTACAAACTCACTACACTATCACAAGTTTAATCAACATAAAGATGGGAGAAAGACAATTATTAGGCCCCTCACCAAGAAGCGAATGTCCATTCAAGAGACTCATGACAGATCTTATGGGATAGAAAAAGATATATAAAAGTATATCCCTATAAATACCATGTAAACAGTTATGTGGTAATGGGACTTACTGGGATGAAATTAGTCACTTGTACCTGTACTTACACTACTATATACTGATAAATCGGTGACCAAGACCATCATGGATATACTATTCAATTTGAACTGCAGACTTTCTTAGTAATTAGTGACTAGAAAACAATAGCAAAACATTTCCCCTACTAAGGTCTTTACATCCACAAGGTGCATACGTCAACAAATCTCACATTAGGAAAGGGTAGACAGAAGGAGAATGAATCGTAATTAACATCTGTGGGGGAGGAAGAGAAGCATGCAGGTTCCCAGAGTCCGTGTGCACCAAACATCACACTTCCCAGTACACGGCCAACTGGGTAAACTGTGATTCATGGGATGACAAGGCATACGATATAATACCGATGCAAATGTTGCAATTCTGAACATGGTGGAGTGTGGGACTGGTGAAACACACCCTTTCTTAGTGACCTGAGAACTCTCCAGGCCCAGCTGCAGCCAACTCACAAAAGAACCTACAGAACATCTCACCTGGGGCTGGAAGCAACTTCAGTGGCAGAGAGCAGGCATGTGTGAGGCCCGAGATTCAGTATGCACCCAAGGTTCCCTCACTGACTGTTTTTGAAATGAAAATATATAAACAGAGGAAAGTAGTTTTACCCATGCTATGTGGCTCTCCCTAGTTAGGCAATCCACACTGTGGACTCTGGGCATACATGCACATCCCAGGACTGGTCCCTGAAGTACTGAGCTGAGTGATAGTTGTTCCAGGTGGATAACCAGCACAAAGTCTCCCACCTAATTCTTTCCAAAGAATATCTTCAGAGATTTGGGGATTATGAATGGACGTTTAGTTTTTGAGTTTTGGTATGGCATTACTTACCTGCACTGTACCAGTACAACTGAGCAATGGCCCCTCGGTTTCTAACTATATTGGTGACAGGAGCCTTCCTCAGAAACACTGGATTTTTCTCAGACATCTTTTCTGGCCCTTGATGAGCCTGAGATTCCTACAGCTAGTCCTTAGCAGCCTCTCTTAGAACACATGAACTCCTGACTTTGTGGAATCATCCCTATGCTATGAATGCTGGCCATCCTGCCTTCACAGGCTCTTGTCATGTGTTACTCATAGTTCTGACTGAAGACTCCCACAATGCACAGCGTACCACACACATTCCACAAGAAGAGATAAAGCTATTCCACTACATTTTTAGTAAATGCTTTTGGGTGATTCCCAGGCTGCTCGTTCCTAAGCGTAACTGTGACCTGGGGAACAGCAGACCGACACAATGGCTGGTAACTCACTAAGATGGCTGATAAGGTTCTTCTCACTGCACCTTCTAAGAGCAGTAAGAAAAACCAACAGGAAGACAGAGGAGGCAGACAGGCAGTAGTACACCACCTTTCTGATGCCACTAGCTGCTTAGTAAACTAAAGGTAAGTATGCTTTCTCAGTTGATCTTCCAAAGTATTAACTATGGAGGAAATGTTCAAAGCCTTTGAAGTGAATTCCATACAACTTACACTTGACCCTTCCCTCCCTGTGACTAGCCTAGTGCAGCATGAATGTGTTCAACCACTCAGCTGCATCCCTAGCCCACATTTTCCTCTCTATTTAGTCTCATACTAGGTTGTCCAGGACAACTCAGCCCATGAGTAACTGAGACTACAAGGCTACATTACAGGGCCAGGTACCTTTTCCTTAGTGAGGCCATTACTGTTGAAACGACAAGCACCATTGTTCTATTACTTGTCCAGTGAAAGCTCCCACTTCACACTGTCCCACACTTAGGCAAATTCATCACGGTTTACTTTTCTTAGGAACCCATGTATTTTTAAAATTGGTGTTTAACACAAAAGAATTTCAAGTCTGGGGAGCTGCAGTAATAGACTATTTCAATTAAGGCAATGGGAATTTAATTATTGACTCATTAGGAAGAATACAATGGCACTGTTAAAAGTCCTGCAAGAAAGAAATGATCTTGAAAATTAAGGAGAACATATGCCAGTTTGTTATGTAACAAATTTTAGCATCTTAAATAGGAATAGTCAAATGCTTTCCATGTTTGGTATTTAAAAATTAATCTAAAGCCAATTATTGTTTACAAATATTAGAGTATGGTTGGTCCTTGTCTTTCAGAAACTCAAAAGATCTCTTGGAGAAAAGTACAGGAGTCATTAAAAACCTTACAGGATTTCAACATTATCGTCAACAGATGCTATCTAGGCTTAGAGATAAAAACAACATCCCCTGGGGTAACATATCATCAGATGCTACAATCTTAACAAAATACAACGACTCAAAAAATACTAAACTGTCAATTCCTGTTATTAAACTGTAATCAGCAAAAGCAAAAGTTATTTTATTTAAATGAAATTAAGAAAAGCATTGATATAGATTTTATAAACAATTAACTCAAAAGATGGCAGAGTGTTAGATAATCAGAAAAATAACTTGAATCAACTTGATTGAGAAAAATACAATAATGAAGTGCTTATGGCCTGGAAGCCTTAAAAAAATAAAAACATTTATGGCATTATATAGCCATATTTTTTTAACACATGAAATATTTTCAGGTGTAGTAGACCTTAGAGGCAAGTTAGGACAGCACAATCTATTAAGTTTACATAGACCTTTTATTCCCATCGACCCTCCTCCCCAGGCTGCAGAGCCCACACCCAGGCCATTAATGATGGAACTAAACAGAAAAGCACCATGAGATCCTGTACATGAGGACCGAGCACATTAAGGCTGAGTGCCATCTCCATGATAAAGTAAGTGGTTCTGAGTTATCTGTCTCCTTTGCATTAGCAGCAATAATTTAGCACTGACTGTGATTTTTAATTAAAGTCATTTGACCAGGCAAGAGGTTGCAAACCTCCAGAACAAGTTTCAGGAAAATTATGTGTTAATCAGGATTATAAAACTGGCTTTTGAATCTCAGACCAGTCCTGCTCTCCAGTCCACCCCATTCCTGGCCATGCCTTTCTCTTCTGTAATAAACTGTCTCTATTTCTGTCAGGAGAATAAAAAACAAAACTATGCTAAGTGTCTTTCCTAGACCATCTTCCAGTAGGGAGACTGCTTTCATATTATTTAGCTTAATATAAAAGGTAACTTTACTTCTTTTCATCTCAGAAATAAAAATCTGCAAGACTGACTTTTGTTTTCTAAAGACCCACAACCCAACAATCTGCACACAAGAACCGAAGCACAAGTTGGCCGTGAGAAACTCGCCGTCTTCTGTGCGCCACAGGAGACCATGAGGCCCGCAGAGTGCTGCAGTTCTAGAGCGAGGGAACAGGGCAGGCGCAATAAGCCGGAAGTTAAAGCCCACTACATTTTCATTGTTTCGGGAAGTCGTAAACATTAGAGAAAAACCATAGGAAGGCAAAAGTAGCCAGAGGCTGGGCCAGCTCGGCAGTGGAGAGTTTTTGCCTGCCACGTACAAGGGTGCAGTCTCCAGTGCAGGAGGGAAAGACACGTCACACAGGACAACTCAGAACCAGAACGCTCTCCTTTTCCTGAAAAAGCTTTATCTTCTCTCCTGGTGAGCAACATCACCGGACAGACGGCCGAGTCTGCACCATGGGGCCAGTGTGATAACCTTTTGCATACTTTAATCACCACCTCCATGAGACGACAGGGCTTCTTATAAATTAAGAAATGTAAACCTCAGCATTCCCAACTGATTCACCCCAAGTCCCACCCACTTCTCTTGCTTTGAACAAACAATAAGAACACAGCACACCTGCTTTTGAGTAGCACACACAACTTGATGCTGCCCCACGAGCACAGAGCAACCAGGGGCTGTGAACAATGGCCGCTCAGCTCGGCAGAGGGCAGGCTACTGTCCTGTGCCGTCCCAGGATTTCAGGTCCCCCCCCCCCC